CAGATTTGGAATTTCCCAGCCATCGATGAGCCGCATTTTACCGGCAGTACTTACCGGCATTATTGAATTAATGCCGGAGTACATTCAGTTCCCCTATGGCACGCAACAGCAAATCGAAGTAAAGCAGGGGTTTTGCGCACTGGCCAACATGCCAAATGTTGTCGGTGCCATAGACTGCACACACACACGCATCAAGGCTCCATCTGATGATGCATTTGCATATATAAACTGGAAAAACTTTCATTCCATGAATGTGCAGCTGATATGTGATGCAAACTGTGTCTTGCTCAACGTTGTGGCTCGGTGGTCCGGTGGGACGCATGACAGCTTCATACTGCACAATAGCGCAGTTGGCGCCTGTTTGGAGAATGGAGCTGTGAGAGACGGCTGGCTTGTCGGATAGAATAGAGTCTGTCTATACAAATGCATTTGTTTGAGACTTACCCTTTATACCCATCGGGGACCGGGGTTACCCTCTGACCCAGTGGCTAATGACACCCCTGGCCAATCCACAGACACCACGGGAGCTGGCATATAATGAAGCCCACGCTGTCACAAGGGCCGTTATAGAACGCACAAACGGCGTTCTCAAAGCCAGATGGCTGTGTCTGGATGACAGAGCTGGCACCCTTCTCTATGCACCCGAGAAGGTGTGCAAAATTATCATGGCCTGCTGTGTCCTGCACAACATTTAAATTAAGCGGGGCCTTCCCCTGAGGTCCAAAATCCAACTGAGCGACTGCCTCCAGAACCAGCTTGTGAGGTCAGAAATGCGGCTGCTGTTCAGACACGCCAGCAACTTATAGAGCGTTTTTAAGGTAAGTGTTGCTTGCACAAGTACTGCACAAGCTACTCTGAACATTTTATTTTGTTTGCAAAAACTTATATTCGTTTGTTTTATATTTCTATCCAACATCCCGTTTATTTTAGTTCATCAATTCATTTTAATAATGCCTTTGTTCTTGCAGTAAGCAGCACACTGCTTATCCTGTTTTCCAAAGCTCTAAATGTTTTTACACAGAATACCCAAACATCATACTGTGAAAAAAGTACATTTTATTTGGGGGGGGCCTCAGGTTCGTGTTGATCTCTTGGAGGGAATTGTTAATTTGTTCAACTGCCCTAACAATGACCGCTTGATTTCTAAGGACCTTGTCTGTCAGGACCGGGTCTCCTCTCTGGCCTCGGCGTCAGGACTGGGTCTCCTCTCCGGCCTCGGCATCTGGGTGAAGGAGCAGTAGGAGCAGCAGGTGGAGGAGTCACACCGCGGGAGGAGCACTCGCCGGCTGAAACTATTAAAAACATCAATAAATATGCTTTGGAAAAACAAATTACATTGGCTGCAGAGTGGATTAATTTGAACTTGTAAAAACAGAACTTGTGTTAAGAACAAATTTGGCCTAATTTGAACACTATACTTTTTTAAATGACCTACAATTATGAAAAATAAAATGCTGTAGGCTAAATGTTGTCTTTATCATTTGTTAAAAGTGTTAAATAGCTATACATTCCGACAGCCATCACTAATTTATTGAGAGTTTATTTAGCACAAAATAGAATTTCTGGTTTCCTATTCATTCAATTTAGAGAGCACCCCATGCATCTTCTGTTTGTTTGGTGGGACTATAGGACCCATTACTCACTGACAAAGCACTAAGCTATCATTTATGGTTTTTAGAATGTATTGTGATACAACACCTGTGACCTTACCTTCTGAGTTTGATGGTGACAGCTCCAATGGAGGCATGTCGCTGTCTCCATCAGGAATGATTCCTGACAAAAAGGTCTCCCCAATGACGCCAGCGATGCACTGGTCTGTTGCACATAGAGGTGGCTGTGAAGGTCCTCCTCCTCCTGCGGCTGCAGTGTTGTTTTTATTAATCTTGATACGTTTCTTTGCATCGATTTTTATATCGAACCATTTACGTTTCACCTCCTGAATGGTCCTTCCAACAGAGGAGACAACATTCACTGCATCTGTTTCTTCCTTCCAGGCCTTTGCTTTCCCTGTTCCTGTCACTCCACTACTAACAGAGGAAAATAAAATATGCTTTCTCAACTCCACTTCTCCCAAAATTACTTCGATCTCCGCCTCGGAAAAGTCCTTTTTTCTTTTTCTCTCTTTCTTTCCTTGCGCCATGATCAGGCCCACCGGATGAACCTGTGTGCTTATATGGTGGTCATTTGCTATTCATGGGTGGGGATTTATGCTAATTGATGATCACCGGGGGGGTGCTGTCAATTTACGATCGGTTGGCATTCATGATCTTGCACACGTGCTTACGATCAAATCTGAGTTTCGCACGCCATTCATGAATCCGGAGTAGGGTTTTAGTAGCGCAGGCTTTTATGTGCAAATATGCACAGATTTACTAACATTTCATGAATGAGACCCACTGTGAGTCTCTGGCACAGTAATACGCAGCAGTGTCTTCAGCTGTCAGCCTGTTCATCCGTAAATACAGCTGGTTCTTGCTGTTGTCCCTGGAAATGGTGAATCTTCCCTTAACAGACAGGGAATAGTACATGGTGCCACCAAGCTAATGGAGTCAACCCACTCCAGTCCCTTCCCAGGAGCCTGTCCAAATGTTGTGCAGCAAACTTTAAACGAGCTTCAACATGCTTTTTCTTCAGCAATGGAGTCTTGCGCGGTGAGTGTGCATAGATGCCATGGCAGTTGAGTGCATTACTTATTGTTTTCTTTGAAACAACTGTACCTGCTAATTCCAGGTCTTTCTGAAGCTCTCTGCGAGTGGTCCTTGGCTCTTGGACAACTCTGTTGATTATTCTTTTCACGCCTCTGTCCACCTAATCGTGGTCAGTTTATGGTGAAATGATGTTCTTCCACTTCCGTATTATGGCCCCAACAGTGCTCCCTGGAACATTCATAAGTTTAGAAATGCATCTGTAACCAATTTCATTAGTATGTTTTACAGCAATAAGGTTGTGAAGGTCTTGAGAGAGCTCCTTGCTTTTACCCATCATGAGATGCCTTTTGTGTGACACCTTGGTAATGAGAAACCTTTCTATAGGCCATCAATTAGGACTAAACTAGCTAATATTAATTGCAGTCTAAATACTTACAGATTTCAGCTGGTTTCTTGGCTTTCCAAGCCTTTTTGCACCTCCTTTTATTCATCTGTTTAATACTTTTTCCCTGGGTCATTCCACTTCATTACACATAATTTACAGACTTATTTGTTTTGATTTCTTTGCATGTTGTTGCCAACATCTTGTAAAAATTTCATGTCAATAGCCCCATTAGAAACATATTTACTGAGAAAATTGTTGATGTGTTCAATACTTACTTTCCCCGCTGTATATGCTGCTACTTTAATTTTCCTCATTTGTGTTCTGATAAACAATAACTGCATCAAATACAGACATATGGCTATTTTACGCTACCCTAACCTCAGTAACTATTGAGATTCCTATTTACTGGAGACAAACTTTTTTTTCCGCTCCATGTAGCTAGACAATGCACACGCTGAAGTGAATATGAATCATCTAAATTGGTTAAGAACTGTGAACTTTTAAGTGCATTTTTTAATCCAAAAAGGGGTAAAAAACAGCGGCACCAGTTTTCTAGTTAGGTAGCCTGTATTTTTTACAAGTCAGTATAGCCTGGTGCAGTGTAAGGGAAATAAGTCAATGTACCGAAACAACAGGCCTTGGCTGTCCATGCGGCTACGTCTACTCAGCTACATAATTTAAAATCATGTAGAGGAGTGGCACAATCCGGTGCAATTTAATGCAGTTACTGTGGACTACCCACCTAGCTAGCTAGCTACTATAATTGAAATAAGTGCTCACAGTGTGACTTACTGATAAACTCACTGATGGGCACCACGGCTAACGTTCCTGCCCACGAGAGTATACAATGTCGGGGGAAGGGAGACGGTCGGTTTGACTGCATTTACCAATGTCAGCAGACTACCCATGAATCTTAGTTGTCTCAGATGAAAATTAGTGAAAGTACCTGGTGTAAAATGTTTACCACAGAGAGGAGTATTGGAGGTGATCCTCAGATCTCCATCAACATGGCTGTATACTAAAGTAATCCACCTGTTCTTCATTTTTTGGAAATTAAAATAGGTTGACAGAGATTTTTAAACTCTCGCATTCAGAGAAGATACCATCTTGGAACATAGCAGGCAGAACAGCTGATTTGCTACTTGGAAAACTGAACACTGGTGACTCAATGAGGAATCTAAACACAGGACATGCGGTCATTTATCATGATTGAGCTGGCAGCCACTAATGCAATGCGCGCATGATTTTATATACCGCTAGGGGCTGGATATGTTAAGGAGGGCTTCAGTACATCATCAGGCCATGTTTTAGCCCCGCCCAAAAAATCCTGAAAATAGAACTGGTGAAAAACTGTTTAACGGACTAACACTACAATTAAGCATCGGTTTAGTTTGCAGTATTTGCACGTTATCAGCATCTAGTTGCAACATGTCTATTATGTTTAGAAGCAAATCTCAAATTTCACTTTACCCGGACTTTAAGTTATTCCTTGTTCATGAAAAACAAATACAAAATTTTGAATGTCTCTTCATTATCCTTATGTATAGAAATGAGGTCCTTATAATGAACGTACACATGTTTATGCAATTTCCTAACATGGTGAAGCACAGCTGCTCAGTAATAAGTTTCAAGTAAATGGCACACAATTCCCACAATTCATCAGTACACAGCCTGTGTATAGGCGTCATAGTGTCCCCTCTGTGGGCCAAAGACAGGCAGCTGGCTGATGTACTTGAAGCAGATTTAAAGTGCTGCTGTAAAATCCCTTCTGTGCGTCTTGGAGAGCTTCACTGAGGAGGGGAGACAGCAGGAGAGTAACCCCAGTAGGAGCTGTGTTCTGGGCCTTTAGTAATGCAGCTAGACTGAGGATACAGTCCCAATTTAGTGCAACAATACTAGTTCTGGACAGCATTAACTAGCTAGACAAGCAAGTGGTCAGGAAAGTCCCCAACTAAGCACCACATCAAGGGCTTATATAGGAGTTGAACCCAGGACCTCTTGCACCCAAAGCAAGAATCATACCCCTAGACCAACGAGCCCTGAAAAGGTCTTCTCTCGTCCACTATGACCTGGAATTGGCTCTTTCGCCAAGATCCGTTAGCATATCAGACAGTTAAAATGGTCAGAATCTCAAGTCAATGAATGAAGCCAAGGGAATGACCCCGCTGTACCTAAGTTTCTGTTGAGGTTACACTGGAGAGCATGGCTGCCTTCCAAACAGTTTAATTGGGTCAGAATCCCATCCCATGCATGTTCTGGGTTTTTCGTCTCCCAACGGTACCTGCTTGCTCAAAAATAGACCGTTAGAGTGTAAAGGCAACACCAAATCCAGTTGCTAACCATGTTTGCAGATCATGACAGATTACAGTGACGCTTCTGCTTTTGCCCTACCTGTGTGGTAAACTTAGATGTGGATACCCTGTGTCATCAAAGACTTCACGGAAAGTCCTGAGTAAAATTCTTAAAACAGCAAAACATAGTGATCTTGTTCAAGGACAATTTGCATGCTGATAAACAGGAAGAAGTCATGTGCTTAAACATGATCAATCTTAGAGGCCAATCACATTTGTTGGACTCAAGATGTGGTCTTTGACGCCTACAAAACCCTGTGATAAGAATCAATAGTAAAGTACTGACATATGTCCGTGCTACAGAATATTCATGAGTATTGCAACTGTAAGGACTAAATACCGCTCTCTTAGGCATACTGCAGGTTGCATGGTCTAGCAGCCTGAGAATCCAATCTTGAGTTTGTGCAACAAAGCATCCTCTCGAGGGCACGAACAGAATAGACAATCACTCCTTTGGGAGATGATCACAGGTACGCACCACATCAAGGGCTCGTCCGGGAGTTGAACCCGGGACCTCTCGCACCCGAAGCGAGAATCATACCCCTAGACCAACGAGCCCTGATAGACAATGGTCTCTCTCGCCATGATTGGGAATCAGCTGTTTTTCCATGACTAGCTTGCTTGTCAGACAAGTCAATGGATGTAGCCGAGAAAACGACTGCACTCTACCTTAGTACCTTTTTGTGTTACAGTAGAGAGCATGGCTACCTTCCAAACTGATGACTTGGGTCAGATTACCATACAACGCCTTATCTGGCTTTTGTGTGTGCTAACGTACGGAGCTTGCCTGTTCAACAATAGACTTTTAGGGTGTAAAGGCAACACCAAACCCAGTTGAAAACCATGTCAGAAGATCATGACAGATTATACGTATTTCTTTCATTCGTATCCACAGGACACATTGAATATAAAACCATGAAACAATAGACAAGTGGAACAGTAAGCAATCACATCCAGAACATATTAACAAGGAGGAGACAAAAAATTAATAATCATAATGCATGTACATTTAATCAAATGTTGCACTTTTTTTCATGGTATTAAACATACGGGCATTATAAGCAGCGAAAAAAACATGAGCTATGCTTTGCACTGAGTGCAGTTAAAATATTATCAATAGATCCACGCTGATAATCAGAATAGACGTGATGTTGAGTAACATGATATGCATTCACAGACATTTTGTCATCTACTTCAATACTATAATTACATCTTACATATGCTACGTTTTTGCCAGTGAGTGACCTGGCACAACGCTCGGCAATACAACCCATATACGATACAATACTGTTTTTGCTGTTTAACATACCACAAATAAAACGTTAAGGTTTGACAGTAAGTTGAGTGCTACTTTGTGGCTAGACTATCAGTGGACCACGTAACCACTTATGACTACGACAAAGTAACTTAAGAAGTCTGCGTACGGCTTTGTTCCGCTGAGAGTAACATGATAAGAAGTCTTTAGATACTTAAGTAAATCAGAGCTAAAAGTATCAATAGCAGTCAAGTGAGAGGATTACAGTTAAACTTCAGGTTTTGTTCTTCAGGTCTGTCGAACTAGATGTAAAATATCTGTGTTATTACATCAATGACGCATGGCTAAATATGACGCTCGATCCCCAAAGATCTCACAGTCTCCATTTTCCAGTATTTCTGCAATGGATGAATTTTGACAACACTAAGTCAAGTACTAAAAGGAGTCAACCAAATTCTTTGTAGCCATCTTGGCTTAATAGCTCTAGGTTTGGACAGAATTAGAATAAGGACAAGCGGACTTTTGGGAAAGGCTCAAAGAAATCCTTTTCTTGTTTTGCTCAGAAAACCAAGCACTGGAGATCAAAATTAACACCAGACGCCACATAAATCAGTAGGAGCAGAGCATCAAGTTTTTTCGCCAAGCTGGGTGTTACCCCTGTTGTAAACTCAAATGAAGATATCCTGTGTCACAAATACTTCACAGAATAAAGTGAAATAGAGTAAAATTCCTTCAACAGTAAAAACGGTCTTCTAGTTCAAGGACAAACTGCTTGATGGCAGACAGGAAGAAGTCATGGGCTTAAACACAATCTCGCATGGTGGTAATTTATATTTGTTGAGGTCTAGCTACGACCTTTGAAGTCATCAAAAGCCTGGTTATAGATTTGTATCACAAGTAATGACATAGGTCCATCATACAGAATATTCAACTGTCAGAACTAAATACTATTCTCTGAGGTATGCTGGCATGTCATATATGTAATGCAGCTAGACTGAGGACATAGTCCTTATTTAGTGCAACAATACTAGCTCTGGACAGCATTACCTAGCTAAGCAAGCAAGTGGTCAGAAAAGGATCCCAACGAAGTACCACATCAAGGGCTCATCCGGGAGTTGAACCCGGGACCTCTCACACCCAAAGCGAGAATCATACCTCTAGACCAACAAGCCCTGAAAAGGGCCTTCTCTCGTCCACTATGATCTGGAATAGGCTCTCTCGCCAAGCTCCATTAGCATGTCAGACAATTAAAATGGTCAGAATCTCAAGTCAATGAATGAAGCCGAGGGAATGACCCCGCTGTACCTAAGTTTCTGTTGAGGTTACACCGGAGAGCATGGCTGCCTTCCAAACAGTTGAATTAGGTCAGAATCCCATCCCATGCATGCTCCTGGTTTTTCGTCTCCCAACGGTACCTGCTTGCTCAAAAATAGACCGTTAGAGTGTAAAGGCAACACCAAATCCAGTTGTTAACCATGTTTGCAGATCATGACAGATTTACAGTGACGCTTCAGCTTTTGCCTTATCCCTGTGGTAAACTTAGATGTGGATACCCTGTGTCATCAAAGATTTCACAGAAAGTCCTGAGAAAAATTCTTAAAACAGCAAAAAATAGTGATCTTGTTCAAGGACAAATTGCATGCTGATAAACAGGAAGAAGTCATGTGCTTAAACATGATCAATCTTCGAGGCCAATCACATTTGTTGGACTCAAGATGTGGTCTTTGATGCCTTCAAAACCTTGTGATAAGAATCATTAGTAAAGTACCGACATACGTCCATCCTCCAGAATATTCATGAATATTCCAACTGTTAAGACTAAATACATTTCTCCTTGGCATGTTGTAAGTTGCATGATCTAGCAGCCTGAGGATCCACTCTTAATTTTTTGCAACAGAACAACCTCTCGAGAGCATGAACAGAATAGACAAACAGACATTCAGGAAATGTTCCCAACTAACCACGACATCAAGGACTGATCCAGGAGTGGAAATCGGGACTTTTCGCACCCTAAGCGAGAATCATAACCCAAGACCAACGAGCCCTGATAGGTAAAGGATCTCTTTCGCCATGATTGGGAATTAGCTGTTTTTCCATGACTATCTTGCTTGTCCGACAAGTCAATGGACGCAGCCGAGGAAACGACTGCACTCTACCTTAGTATCTTTTGGTGTTACAATAGTGAGCATGGCTACCTTCCAAACAGTTGACTTGGGTCCGATTCCCTTCCATCGCATTCTCTGGCTTTTTTGTGTCCAAACTTACGGAGCCTGCCTGTTCAAAAATAGACTGTTAGGGTGTAAAGGCAACACGAATCCCAGTTGCAAACCTTGTCAGCAGATAATGACAGATTATATGTATATCTTTAATTTGTACCCACATGACGCATTGAATATAACACCATGTAACAATAAACAACTGGAACAGTAAGCAATCACATCGAGAACATAGTAACAAGGAAAGAGTAAAAAAAAAATAATCATCATAAAACACATACTTGTACATTTAATCACATGTTGCACTTTGTTTCATAGTATTAATCATAAAGGCATCATAAACAGTGATAACACATAGCCTTTGCTTTGCATTGAGTGCAGTTAAAACATCATCAATAGATCCACGCTAATAATCAGTATAGACATGATGACTCGGGACATGAGATGCATTAACAAACATTTTGCCATCTACTTCAATAATACATTTACTTCTTACATGTGGTACATTTTTACCAATGAGTGACCTGGCACAACGCTTGGCAATAAAACCAACAGACGATACAATTCAGTTTGCACTGTTCAACATACCACAAATAAAACGTAAAGTTTTGACAGTAAGTTGAGTGCTAATTTGTGGCTAGACAATCAGCGGACCACATAAGCACGTATGACTATGACAAGGTAACTTTAGCAGTCTTCGTATGGCTTTGTTCCACTGATTGTAATATGATAAGAATCCTTTAGACTTTAAGTCCCACAGTTGAGAATTATAAAAGGAACAGCAATAACTTTTCAAAAGCGTACATAAAACCTTAGATGGCAATTTGCCATAATTACCAATGAGTTTATTCACAGAACCATTGAATATGCTCCTCTTAAGATCACAGTCATTGGAATCATTACGATCAATCGTTATGATTCCTAGATGTGAAACTTGATCTACCCATTGTATCAAACAGCCATTGAAAAGAACTCCATCAGCATTAGTGAAAGGAGACCCAAACCTTATACACACAGTCATCTTGGGATAAAATGTAATGATGTATGCAGCTGCAAATTTTTACGCTAATATCCAACATTTCATTGAGACCCTGATGGGTTGGACTAATCAGTGTGATATTATAAGCATACCCAAGAGCGCCAGCATAAGAAAGGCCAACATGGCAACCAGCATCTGATTTTTATCAATATAGTAATTAGTTTATCTATGTATACAG